TTGCCGTACTGATCGAAAAGGAATGGTGCAGTTTTGGACATAAATTTGCCCATGTTAGTTTCATCGTAGTGGTCCAGTTAAATGTTTATATAGGGATATGAATTAAGTTACGAGAATGAGGAATGAGTTAAAAAAAAAGAAGCGAGTTAATCACTTTTTGTACATTTTTATGATTTTGAATTATTTTATACAAATTAATATTTTTCTTTCCGATTTTGCATTATTTACTCTACGTTTTTAATATAATTTAACGCCTTTTAACTAAAATTATTGGAGGCTGCAATTGTCGTACTGATGAGGTTCAGTTTTGGTGCTCAACAGGAATTTATGCGACTTAATGGAACGAAACATTCCTATTCAGTTGTTTATTTCCTGCTTCTTTTCTCCTTTAGACTACTTGCAGGCCTTTTAGACTAGGTTTTTGCCTTTCCGGTTAGTTCCGTGTCCTTTTGAGTGAATTTTCTGCCCTTTAAACTGAAATTTGTGCCCTTTTGGCCAGTGTTTGGTGCTTTTCATCCTGAAGTTCATGCCCTTTTGGCCAATTTCGTGCCCTTCTTGGTGAAATTTATGTCCTTTTGGCTAGTTTTTTGCCCTTTTCAGTGAATTTACTGCGCTCTTCAGGCCAAATTTCATGCCCTTTTAGCCAATTTTCCTGCCCTATGAGCTCGGCTTTATTTCTTTCGGGCTAGCTTTTAAGCTGTGTTGGTTGGGAAGAAACGGTTCTTCGCGTTTTTTATCTTAGAATTTTCACAGAAAGCAAGAATGGGAGAGTTTTGAACTGAGAACGATGGGCTTGCGGCGGGCTTTGAGGCAGATTTTTGTTAACAGCTGTTGCTGGTACAGTGATGAATGTGACAGAGATGATAGTTATGAAAATTTTTTGTTTTTTTCCTGAAATATAATATTTTTCAGCGCTTGGGACATGGTGAAGATAAGCATAACGATAGTGAGCGATCTCCAATCTTTGTACAATTTATCGATTGCGTCTGGCAAATTATGTATCAGGTATTTTATGCTTAGCTTGATGCTTTGAATGGATGTTTTTTCACTGCTTTGCACCTCTTGATATTGATGCATACCTTGGCAACTTTCTCATCTTGTTCGGCTTTAATTTTGCCGCATTTACGGAGTTCCATGTGGGTTTCCAACTGGACTTCGTTCTTTGTTACCCACTTTCAACTCAGCAAGCAGAAATGCTGAAAGACTGGAATTTTGAGGTCATGTTCCCGCCCTATGCATAAACTGATGATCATACACTTTGGAGGTTATGCGGCCCACATTATGCAACACCTTCGTCCCAGATGACGTCTTTTCCTCCTGTAGTTGGGAAAAGGCCCAAACACAGCCAGTATGAGTCCAACTGTTAAACTACAGCGCACAAACCATTCTTGCTCTTAGTGATCTGCAAGTTTAGCGCAAAAACGCATGATTGCACCGGCAACCTGGTGCGTTGCAGCCTGGATTTTTTTATTCAAATGTAGATGGAATCTTTCACTGCAAAATTTCCTCTGTTATCTGGAATAGATTAAAATTTGTAGATTGGGTCTCTGCCTTTCCATGTAACTGGCATTTTTCCCAGTTGTATAAGTTCAGAGCAGCCAGGGCAAGCCTGGGGCAGAAGAAAGAAGGGAAAAAGTGGTTTTGAATTACCTATTCATT